GAAAATGGCCGCGGACTTTGTGTCAGGGGCGCAAAAATGGCCGCGGACCGCGTGTCGGGTGGAAAAATGGCCACGGACCACGTGTTGGGAGGAAAAATGGCCATACCCCGAGGTGGAGTTCGCACATCGAGGTAAATTTTTGCGGCCGGAGCTGGTCGTAACCCGAAAAGTTCGTTAGTAGAGGCGTTCGTATCCCGAGGTACCACTGTAAGTATATCGAGGAATGAAGCCAAGAAACTGTTTTAACAGGATCTGTCATCTTACATCCCAGAGAGGTTCCACTCAAGAGAGAAACTGTGTAAATGTGTGGAACATGGAAGGGGTAGTGATGGCTGAAACTTCTTCAAGGTGGCCCTGAAAAAGAACAGCCTCCTTCTGTTATTTGAAAATGAATCATGATTGAAGAACTGAAGTCCTTCAGTTCTGAGGTAATTGCACCTGTGGGTCAAAGGTGATGGGAAAATTAGGTCTCCTTCCTGTTACCGGCCCTTCACTATAAACCAGTTTTTTCCTTCCACACCATCCCTCTGGGCTAAGCTTTATCCTCTTCTAGTTCTCTCTGGAATTTCATTTCTTGGCCATCTCCTCTAGTACTTCCAGGATCCCCCTCCTCATCCTTTCTGCTGCTCTTCTGTTCCTGGGATTCTGCAGCCTCTTGGGAAACCGCTGGGTTGCTTGGCCGCCTTCCCCCTTGGGACCTCTTCTCTTTCTTCCTGGAGCCCATCTGCAGGGGTGCTCAGTGCTGCCTCCTCTGGCACTTCCAGGGCCACTGGCCTTTCTGAGGCCTCCCCTTTTTCCTGGGGCTCCACAGCTTCCTGGATGGCCTCTGGGTTTCTCTGGACCCTTTCCACCTCCCCCATGATACTTATGCTGGGTGGGAGTAAATCTGATTCTGCCACTTTTGCCCTTCCTGGAGTCAGCCAGGTATTTACCAGTTCTAATATCTGCACTAGGTTGAGTTCTTTCCCCATCTTTTCCGCTGGCTGCTTTCTGAGGATGGGTCTAGGCTTTTGCATGATATGGGGAGCCTCCTTTCTCTGTTCCATCTCCACTGTCTCTGGGTCTTTCTCTCTTGGACGTAGGTCTTTCCATCTCTTCTCTGCTAGGTTCTCCCTAAGCAGCATAGCAACTGGACAGTCATGCATGACAGCAAACGTCCACTCCCCCTCCCATTCTCCCCACTGAATGTGTAGCTTCACCTGTCAGCTTCACTGTGTGTGCCTGGGCCAGCTGATGCCTTTTGACCAGTGAGGAGTGAACTATAATAATGTTTCTGAAATGTTCACCCAACAAGCAAAGTCATATTGCAAATAGAATTTGAATGTGATGCACATAAAAGAGGGGAAGGGCTTTGATTCTGCTGTTGTTGTCAGATGCCCCTGATTAATACACTGGAGCAGAGCTTGACTTCCTCCATTCAGTTCTCAGCAGTAGTACTGAGCAGGCTTGATGTTTTTATTTCTTTTCTTCCAGTTTGCAACACTGATGTTCCAGGTGATCCAAGTCCTGTGGCCTAGCTTAGCTGCTGAGATCAGCCTGGGTTGGTAACTGCTGTCACTTGTTGAGGCATAAGAGACCTTAAATGTACACTCACAAACATTTTCTATGAGAAAAGTAAAGGTATTGGTAAAGAAAATGTATTGAATGGAATATCTGAAGAAAAAGATTGAAAGCCTCAAAGAAGAATGCTGTCAAACAGCATGAAATTACAGCAATGGTGTTGGGAATGTTCAGGAAATGTGAAAAGAATGAACCCAAGAAACTTGAAACAAAGTGAAGAGGGAGTGCATTGAACTAAGCAAACTGAATTGGGCTAGGAAGGCCCACTTCAAATCCAGTGATTATGGGAAACTTTATTCAAAGCATGAGACCACCCAAAGCAATGCGGTGGCCACTCAGAGGGGATCCTGCTGAATCCACACTCATCCATAACTCATTAAATGATGGGATTTATTTGCCATCATTTCCCATCCAGTCAAAGCCGCACTCACCATCTCAGATCAGTGGTTGTTGCCCAGTTGTGGTTTGACATTGCTTGGTCTGCTTTGGGGGTTCCTCAGCTCCCCAACTTTTTGTGTTCCCTCAAACTCTGAGAAATGTGCTAGTTGTTGCTCTTTGTTTGCCTGACCGCCATTCCTCAGAGGTGTTTTTCCATCTTCAGACCAAGGGGCATTTGCTGTGGGAGGAAGGAGAGCTGCCATATTTAGTGAGTAGGAAAATAACCCTGATTAAAAAGGTCCTGGAGCATTGGGAGCTGTGATGCCATTGGCATTTACAAGATGGAGGCTGCTTGATTTTTAAAGTCCACATTAACTTTATCGTACCGTAAATATCCATGCCATCCAAACCTCAAGTCATGACCGTCTAACTGTAAAAGTCTCTTGTTTCTCAGCAAGATCCATTCTTTCATCCAGACCAAACAACAAGCAGTGAAATATAATTTCAAATCTGGTAAACCCAGTCCTCCTCTTTCCTTTGCATCTTGTAACACTTTATGTTTAACTTGTGATTTTTTTCCCTTGCCATATAAATTTAGATATATCTTTTTGCCATTGTTCAAATGGTGTATCCGTTGTCAGAACAGGCATTGTCTGAAACAAAAACATCATTCTTGGCAAAACATTCATTTTTATCACAGAGATTTTCCCCAACAGTGACAATGTTAATTTCTCCCATTCTAACATGTTCTTAATTTCAATCCACATCTTAACATAATTATTTTGAAATAACATACAATTCATATTTGTCACAGTAATATCCAAGTATTTTTTTTCAATCTTAAACCAGTTTTCTCCATCAGTTCTATTTGATCTTCTAATTTCATATTTTTTTGTTAATAACTTTGTCTTCTGATTAGTAATCTGAAAACCTAACATACCAAAGTCCTTTAATTTTCCCATTAATGTTTCTATTCCCTCTAGTGGTTCTTCTAAAATTAACACCAAATAATCTGCAAATGCCCTTAATTTACAAGTGGAGACAGTGGACACCATTGTCTTCTCCCTTTTGGAATCTCAAAAGGTTTTGTTAGATCTCCATTAACAATTATTTGCTTTCTGAGAAATACAAATCAATCTTCCCGATTTAATAAAATTATCTCCAAGGTTCATATGTTCCAGAACACTAAACAAAAAAATCCAATTCAAATTGTCAAAGGCTTCTCTGCATCTCAGAATATCAGTGCAGCTTGTTTGCTCCAAGTATGCTCCAAGTTGCTCCAAGTATTCAAGAATATTCAGAAGACTTCTAATATTATCCCGTAGTTGTCTTTTAGGTAAAAACACACATTGATCTTCATGAATAAAATAATCTAGTCCCATGTCTCACAATTTTCCATTTTCTCAACAACAACAAAAAAGATTGAAACAAGGGAGGCACAGAGGGGGGAATAACTAGGAGGACCTGTGCTTGTCTGTCCTTGGATGCCTGGGAGCAGCAGCACCCTTCGGAACCTTGCCCAGGAGCTTTGCCAGCCCGACCATACCTCCCACATCCCAGGATCCCCTTCCAAGGCTGCTAGAGGTCCTCTCCGTCCCCTCCTGTACCCCCAACTCCTTGAATGTTCTCCAGGAACCACAGCACAATCTGTCCAAGGACCTCTACACTGAGGTCCTGGAAGCTTCTTCCCTTCAGAGTGGGTCAGAGCATGGCAGAAAAGCTTTGCCAGCAGTTACCTCTGGGAGGAAAGAGGTAGAGGGGAGTGGCAGCCTGGGATCTTTTAAAGGGGGGCGGGAGGGAAGAAGGTCCGCCCAGAGCATTTCCTCTCTAGGAAGGAGCACTCTCTCGCCCGCAGGCCGAAGCTCCCAGGGACGGAGAGGGCGGGGCGGTGAGGCGGGAGCAGAGAGTTGGGAGTGGGTTCCCGCTGCGCTTCCCCGGGGCAGGAGCGCGAGGGAGCGCCAACCTGCCGGCCCCGGGGGCTTCATTCCCTGAAAGCCGGGAAGGGACTATTGAGGATCTGCTTGCCCACGGCGCAAGGGGCCCTTGGCCCAATGCGGCCAGGAAGGAGAGGAGCGGAGTAGGCGCCGCTGGGGAAGCTT